ATTGAGGTTTTTGAAAAGTTGCTTAAAAATCCTCAAAAAATTCTGGGAAATATATTTCGACAAGGTCATTTGAAGAAAATAAGTAATGATGCTTCCAGACCAAGATTTTCCAAAAATTCGATTTTTTGATTTCCAAAACAGTCTCTTTTTGTTTTATCGATTATGGAAAAAGTGTTGGAACTTTCGAAGAAATGAATACGAGTCGAAATCTAGAAGAAAATGTCTTTAGATAATTTTCGAAGAGTGTTCGAAAAAGGTCAAATGCCTAATTAAATTGAAAAAACGAGATTTTTGAAAAATGGACCCAAAAAACCTCAGAAAATTGTGGAAAATACATTATAACGAGCTGATTCGAAAAACATAACGTATTGGTAGTTTCGGACCAAGTTTTTTGAAAAATTAAGTTTGAAAATGGGATTTTTAAAATATTTCGAATATTGTAAATTTTTTTTTATTTTATTGATTCTGGAAAAACTGTTAGAATTTTTGAAGTAACGAGGCCGAAAATAAGCATAATTTTCGAAGGATGCTTGAAAAACAGTCAAAAGACGCTAGAAAATTGAAAAATTGAAATTCATTTGTGGGCGCAGGGAAATATTGCAGATTTGGATAGTTGCCTAAAATCCTCAAAAATAGGAAATATATTTCGACGAGCTGAGTGTAAAACATAAAGTGTAGATGGTTTCGGAGCAAGATTTTCAAAAACTTCGGTTTGAAAATGGTTTTTCTTTAAATATTTCTAAAATTGTCATTCTTCATTTTAATGATTACGGAAAAATTGTTGCCTATTTTTGAAAAAAGCGAAAGTAACTTGTGCCTGATAAACGGTCAATAAAGTCGTACCTACGTGGAAAAGTAGAAAACTTGAAAATTTTTAAATGTTTTTTAAAAATTGTCAAACAATTCTAGGAAATACGTTTCGACGTGATTTTCGAAGAATTAGGTTTGAAAATGAAAATTTTTATACTTATAACTTAAAAATTGTCATTTTCATTTAATGTATTCTCACAAAATTGTTGGAATTATCAAAAAAATGAACCCGAAAATAACTTACACAAGTCGAACTTTACAAGAAAATTTAGAGTGCTCGAAAAACGGTCAAAAAATTCGTGTATGAAAAATTGCAATTTTTGAAAAGTTGTTTAAAAATCTTCAAAAAATTTTAGGAGCTACATTTCAACTAGGTGATTCGAAAAACACAACGTGTTGTTGATTCCGGATGGATATTTTCGAAAAAATCGGATTTTAAAGTCATTTTGTAAATAACTGGGAAATTATCATTTTTCGTTTTGTCTATTATGGAAATATTGTCTGAATTTTAGGTGAAATGAAATCTAAAATAACTAAGTCGAATTCTACAAGAAAATGTCTTTACAACTTAATATACGAAGGGTGCTGGTGCTAGAAAGACGATAAAAAACCAGAGTGTTGAAAAAAAGTTGCCTAAAACTCTTCAAATAATTCTAAGAAATAGCTTTCGACGAGCTAATTCAAAAATATGTGTTCATGGTCTAGTACCAAGATTTTCGAAAAATTTGATTTGAAGTTATTTTTGTCTCCAACATTAATTTTTTCAATATCTCAAAAATTGTCAACTTTTGTTTTATCAATTATAGAAAAATTGTAATTTTCGAAAAAATAAACCCGAAAACAACTTTTAAGAGTCGGATGTCTTTAGCTAATTTTCAAAGGGCGCTGAAAATGCTAAAAAAATTTATAAATGGGTGAAAATTTGAGATTATTGAAGTGAAATCATCAAAAAATTGTGTGAGAAACATATTTCAACGAGCTGATTGGAAAAAGATAACATGTTGACGGTCTCAAACCAAGATTTTCGAAAAATTCTGTTTGAACTTATTATTTTTAGTATCGCGAAAATTGTCGCTTTTCTTTTTTATTAATTATGGAAAATGTTTGGAATTTTGGAAAAAATTAAGCCAAAAATAACTTCTACGAGTGGAAATCTACTAGTCAATGTGTTTAGACAATTCTTCAAGGGTGTTTGAAAAGCAGCTAAAAAATTCATATGAACTAGGTATTGAAAAATTGAGATTTTTGAAAGTTGCTTAAAAATCTCCAAAAATTTCTGGGAAATATATTTCAGTGAACCGATTCGAAAAATACGACATGTTGTTGGCTCGGACTAATATTTTCCAAAAATTGGGTTTGAAAGTAGGTTTTTTAAAAATATTTTGAATTTCTCATTTTATCCATTATGGAAAAATTGTTTGAATTTCAGAGGAAATGATACCGAAATAGCTTCTACTAGCTGAAATTTACAAGAAATTTTCTTCAGATATTTTTCCAATGGGTCCTCGAAAAACGGTAAAAAAATCATATGGAGTACCTACTGAAAAATTGAGATTTTTGAAAAATTGACTAAAATTGTGCAAATGATTCTGGGAAATACATTTCGACAAGCTAATTAATAAAAATTCGGTTTGAAATTAGTTTTTTTAATATCCCGAAAATTGTATTTTTTTTATCGATTATAGAAATTGTTGGAAAATGTCTTTAGATATTTTTCCAAGGGTGTTCGAAAAACGATCAAAAAATTCATATAGAATATTGAAAAATTAAGATTTTTGAAAAATTGCTTAAAAATGTGAAAACAATTTTAGGAAATACATTTCGGCGAACTAATTCAAAAAAGATGAGTTGGGTCTCGAAGCAAGATTTTCGAAAAATTCGGTTCGAAATTAATTTTTTTAATTTCTGAAAAATTGTCTGTTTTTATTTTATTAATTATGGAAATATTGGTGAAATTAAAAAATAACTTCTACGGGTCGAAATCTACAAGAAAATCTCTTTACATAATTTTCGGAAGGTGTATAAAAACGATCAAAAAATTCATATGTACCTACGTTGAAAAATTGAACTTTATGGAAAGTTGCCTAAAGATCCCCAAGAAATTCTGGGAAATATATTTCGACAAGGTCATTTGAAGAAAATAAGTAATGATGGTCCCAAACCAAGATTTTCCAAAAATTCGGTTTGATGATTTCCAAAACAGTCTTTTTTTGTTTTAACGATTATGAAAAAAGTGTTGAAACTTTCGAAGAAATGAATACAAGTCGAAATCTAGAAGAAAATGTCTTTATATAATTTTCGAAGAGTGTTCGAAAAAGGTCAAAAAATTCATGCCTGATTAAATTGAAAAATTAAGATTTTTGAAAAATTGACTCAAAAAACCTTAAAACATTGTGGAAAATACATTATAACAAGCTGATTCCAAAAGGTTTTTGAAAAATTAGGTTTGAAAATGGGATTTTTAAAATATTTCGAAAATTGTAATTTTTACTTTATGAATTCTGGAAAAACTGTTAGAATTTTTGAAATAATGGGGCCCAAAAAATAACAAATTTTCGAAGGCTGCTCGAAAAATAGTCATAAGACGTGAAAGAATAGAAATTGAGATTTTTGAAAAGTTCTATAAAAATCCTCAAAAATTCTGGGAAATACACTACGAGAAGCTGATTCGGAAAACAACGTGTTGATGTATTTTAAATATTTATTTTTTAAACATATCCAAAATAATCGTCATTTTTCGTTTAATCGGTTATGGAAAAATTGTTGTAATTTTCTTTCTGCCTTCGAAATCTATAACAAAATGTCTTTGGGCCATTTTGAAAAGGTGCTCGAAAAATGGTCAAAAATTCATACGTGGCGGTACTAAAAAAGTGAAATTTTTGAAAAAGTTGTCAAGAAATTTTCAAAAAATTTTGGAAAATTTATTTCGACGAGCTAATTCGAAAAACATGTGTTGCGGTCTCGAAGCAAAAATCTTCATTTTTTGTTTTATTGATTATAGAAAAATTGTTGTAATTTTCGAAAAAATGAAGCTGAAAATGACTTCTATAAGTCGAAACCTAGAATTCTAGAAGTCTTTAGATAATTTTCGAAAGGTGTTCGAAAAACGATCAAAATATTTGTGGCTGATTAAATTGAAAAATTGAGATTTTTTAAAAATTCAGCCAAAAATCTTCAAAAAATTCTGGGAAATACGTTTCAATTAGCTGATTCTAAAATCATAAAATGTTGATAGTTTTGGACCAAGATTTTCTAGAAATTCGGTTTGAAAATGGGATTTTTTATGTGTGGAAAATTGTCTATGATTTTTTTTTCAAAAAAATTTGAAAAATAGATTTCGACAACCTGATTCGAAATATCATTTTTAGCCGTATTAATATATAAAAAAGATTTATTCTTGACCCAAAAATTATGGATTTTGATTTGTCCTAGCGATTTCCAGTTTTGAGTTTTACTGATGGTATTAATCAGTTTGTTGAGTATTATTTAACCGGATGTCCTAGTGGAGGATGTTGGGCTTTTTGGCTCTTTGATCTTGATTTTCATCAAACCTTAACAGTACCCTTATTAACAATGGATACCTAACTTGACTGATTCTAAATTTACAAACCTTCTCTTATGATTTATTTTTTGAACTTTAACTAGTGTTTTCTTTTTCATTTTCCCACAAATAAGCAGCGACAACAGTAGTAAGAGCTAAAGCACACACCAGCTTTAAAAACGAGACGGTGAAATTGTTAAAATATCGGAAACTGGAAACATTAAAAACAGATCAGATTTAATTATTTAAGAAAAAAAGAAAACAAACGGAAAAAGAACAAAAACGAACCAGAAAAATTAAATCTAGACGATTTTATTAACATTGTCATTATTATCATTATTATAATGCATTAATTATAGTCAGCAAATGTAGACGAACTTGAAAAAACTTGAAGTGGTATTCACCGGTTTAGTGTACTATCTTATCACAGAAAAACACATGTCAAAATTTTTTGTTTGTGTGTACTACTTAATATGCAGCTCTCGGTTGACCAAAAATATATAATGCCAATTCCAAATCCAAAAATCATCTTTGCCATAATTTACTTCTCCTACATGATCAGTGTTCGTGCCACTAATGTCACTCAGTGCACCTGTAAGTAAAACCATGGTCAACTTTCCTTCATTCTCTACTTTTCAACTTTTTTCAGTGTTCACCGATGTCCCTGTCCCTGATAACGTAGAAATCGGTAACTGCGACGAACCACCATGCATTGTGCCCATCAACAGTACCATTAACATAGCAATGAACTTCACGTCACGTACGTCCACTTATCTTCGGTTTTCTTATCTTCATTTTATCTTTTTGTAGCACGAACATTAGGCAACATTTTTCCGATAGCTATTGGGGACACTTTCAACTCGGTTATAAATTTCCCTCTAGAAGAGGAGGATGCTTGTGATGGCATAGTCAACACAGAGTGTCCTCTGGAAGAGGGCGAAGACGTGGAATATAAATCGCAAATCTCTGTGTCTTCCGATTTTGGAGAAATATATTTTTCTCTGGAGTACTACCTTTTCGACAGGGATGCAGAGAATTTTTTTGAATGTTTTAAGGTTGATATACAGATGGTTCTAACAGACTGAGTAACTCCGTTTTACCATAGTTAACATTTGTATGTCAGAACCAATTAGAGTGTAAGATATCAGTGTAAAAATAACGTAAAGAACAAATAAAAACTAGTTACAGACATAGAAAATTACATTCTAAATTTTTGTGACAATCCATTTCACGTAGGTACTTATTTAGAAAGATATTAGTCATCTTGATCAAAATGAGACTAAAGTCATTGCATCATTTCTCAGACAACTCAAAACTCCAAGTGTTACCATCACAATTAAGGGAAAAAGATTAATAATTGATAAGAACACCTGCATGCTCAAAAACAACACCTGCAATTTTGCGTGAATTATAAAAGGGAGCAAAACGCCGTCATCTTGTCAGTAGAAGAAAAACAACCAAGATGAAGTCTACAATTGCTATTCTAACCATTGCTTTGCTTTTCTGGCAATCCAGCGACGTCCAGAGCACTGAAGTAAGCCAATGTAAGTAAAAATTTTATTTTGTGTCCAAATTATAACAAAATACGTTTAGGTACTGACGTCTCATTTCCTACTACTGTGGAAATCGAAGACTGTGCAGAACAACCGTGTATTTTGCACATTAATACCACTACCAGCATGACGATGAAGTTCAAAGCACGTACGTCAATTTAATACCTAGATGGTAAAGATACTAACGAGCGTTCTTTTCCAGCTAAAAATTTGGAACACATAGTTCCAATTGCTATAGCTGAGGTCATGGGCATGGAAATTCAATATCCGTTAGACCAAGATGACGCATGTGCCGGAATAGTTAACACCCAGTGTCCTTTGGAAGAAGGAGAAGACGTTGAATATACGTTTGACATGTTTATTTCGCCGATCTTTCCGAAAATTAACCTCACTTTGGAGTTTTCGCTCCTAGATGAGGATCAAGATGATAGCGCTTTTGAGTGTTTCAAGGTAGATTTGCAGCTGGAATGAGTTGTTATATGATTTAAGTTAATTAAGTTTTGATGACTAGAGTATATATTAAATAATAATATTCATACTGCAGTTAATACGAACTTTCAATTTATTACCTAAGTCTGGAATTCAAAGCTTTATCCTGACTTATTATTAGAAGGTCTCAAGTTATTAAAAACTACCCAGAAGAGATCCCTGAGAACGTTTAAGATTCTTTAAATAAATAACAGACACTAGGAATCCCCGATAAAGTTTCACATTATAAAAGAAAAAGACAGAAGAAACCCCCAAGAAGGTTTCAAATTATTAAATACAACCCCGAAGGGGTCCCCGAGAAGGTTTCACGTTATTAAAAAAAAAGACAGAAGAGGTCCCCGAGATTGTTTGATATTATTAAAATAAATACGGAAGGGCTCCCCGAGAAGGTTTCCAGTTCTTAATAACAACCCAGAAGGAGCCCCTAAGAAGGTTTAACAGTATTAAAAAAAGACAAAGAGACCCCCCGAGAAGGTTTCACATTCTTAAGAAAGAAATACAGAAAGGGTTTCGAAAAGGTTTCAAATTATTAAAAACCACCCTCGAGGGTCCCCGAGAAGGTTTCACATTGTCAGAAGGACCCCCGAGAAGGTTCCAAATTATTAAAAACAACCCAGAAGAGGCCCCCGAGAAGGTTACACATTCTTCAAAAAAATACAGAAAGGGTCCCCGAGAAGGTTTCAGATTATTAAAAACAACCCAGAAGAGGTCCCCGAGAAGATTACACATTCTTCAAAAAAATACGGAAGGGGTCCCCGAGAAGGTTTCAAATTGTCAGAACTCGGGGGCTTGTTTTGACGTGTTTTTTTAATATGAAACTTCCTTGGGATCTCTAATTCTTAAAAAAAAAACAGACAAAGACCGCACAAGAAGGTTTCAAAACAACCCAGAAGAAGTCCCCGAGAAGGTTTCACATTATAAAAAAAAGACAGAAGAAAACCCCGAGAAGGTTTCACATTCTTAAAAAAGAAATACAGAAAGGGTCTCGAGAAGGTTTTAAATTATAAAAAACAACCACCAAGGGTCTCCGAGAAGGTTTAACAGTACTAAAGCAAAGACAACGCCCCCCCCCCCCCCCGAAAGTTTGCCATTTAAAGGAAAAGACAGAAGGGCTCCCCGAGAAGGTTTCAAAGAAAGGGTCTCCGAGAAGGTTTCTCATTGTCAGAAGCCCTCCCCCCCCATTATTTCACATTATAAAAGAAACACAAGAGGCCCCCGAGAAGGTTTCACATTCTTCAAGAAAATACAGAAAGGATCCCCGAGAAGGTTTCACATTCTTCAAGAAAATACAGAAAAGATCCCCGAGAAGGTTCCAAATTATTGAAAATAACCCAGAAGAAGTCTCCGAGAAGGTTTCACATTCTTGAAAAAAAATACAGAAAGGACCCCCGAGAGGGTTCCAAATTATTAAAAACAACCCGGAAGAGTTCCCCGAGAAGGTAACACATTTTTCAAAAAAATAAAGAAAGGGTCCCCGAGAAGGTTTCAGATTGTTAGAACTCGGGGGCTTCTTTTGACGTGTTTTTTTAATATGAAACTTCCTCGGGATCTCTAATTCTTAAAAAAACACACAAAGACCCCACAGGAAGGTTTAAAAATAACCCAGAAGGGGTCCCCGAGAAGGTTTCACATTATAAAAAAAAAGATAGAAGAAAACCCTGAGAAGATTTCAAATTAATAAAAACAACCCGGAAGGGGTCCTCGAGAAGGTTAGACATTATTAAAATAAAGACAGAACGGATTCCCGATAAGGTTCAAATTATTAAAAACAACCCAGAATTGTTTCATATTATTTAAAAAGAAGACAGAAAGGTTCCCCGAGAAGGTTTCAGATTGTCAGAATGGCCGCCTAAGAAAATTTAAATAACATTCGGAGCAGGTTGTGAAACAAACTCCGGAGCCCCTACTGTATTTTTTTAATAATTTGAAACATTCTCGGGGGCTTCTTTTGACGTGTTTTTTTAATGTGAAACTTCCTCGGGAACTCTAATTCTTAGAAAAAAAAACAAACAAAGACCCCACAAGAAGGTTTCAAAAACAACCTAGAAGGGATCCCCGAGAAGGTTTAACAGTATTAAAAAAAAGACAAAGTGGGCCGCCGAGAAGGTTTGATAATAAAAGGAAAAGTTAGAGAGCCTCTCCGAGAAGGTTTCATATGCTTAAAAAAAAAGAAACAGAAAAACCCCCGAGAAGGTTTCAAAACTAGCCAGAGGGGGTCACCGAGAAGGTTTAACAGTTTGAAAAAAAAGACAAAGGGGGCCTCCGAGAAGGTTTGACATTAAAAATAAAAGTTAGAAGGGCTCTCCGAGAAGGTTTTTTAAGCCAGAGGGGGTCACCGAGAAGGTGTCACTCTCTTTAAAAGGTTTCACATTGAAAAGAAGAGACAGAAGGAGCCCCCGAGATTATATTACATTATTTAAAAAGAATACAGAAAGTATCTCCGAGAAGGTTTCATATTCTTAAAAAAAAAAACAGAAAGACACCCCGAGAAGGTTTAATATTCTTAAAAAAAAAGAAACAGAAAGACCTCCCAAGAAGGTTTCAAATTATTAAAAATTAGCCAAAGGGGATCACCGAGAAGGTTTAACAGTATTAAAAAAAAGACAAAAGGGGCCTCCGAGAAGGTTTGACATTAAAAGGAAAAGTCAGAAAGGCTCCCCGAGAAGGTTTTTTATTCTTAAAAAAAACAGAAAGACTCCCCCGAGAAGGCTTTATACATATTATTAAAAATAAGCCAGAGGGGGTCACCGAGAAGGTTTCACTCTCTTTAAAAGGTTTCACATTGAAAAGAAAAAACAGAAGGAGCCCTCGAGATTGTTTGACATTATTTAATAAGAAGACAGAAAGGGTCTCCGAGAAGGTTTCATATTCTTAAAAAAAAGGAAACAGAAAGACCCCCCGAGAAGGTTTCAAATTATTAAAAACTAACCAGAGGGGGTCACCGAGAAGGTTTAACAGTATTGAAAAAAAGACAAAGGGGGCTTCCGAGAAGGTTTGACATTAAAAGGAAAAGTTAGAAGGGCAACGTTTCTTATTGTTAAAAAAAAACAGAAAGACCCCCCCCAGAAGGTTTCAAATTATTAAAAATAAGCTAGAGGGGGTCATCGAGAAGGTTTCACTCTCTTTAAAAGATTTCACATTGAAAAGAAACGACAGAAGGGTCCCTCGAGATTGTTTCATGTTTCACATTATTTAAAAAGAAGACAGAAAGGGTCCCCGAGAAGGTTTCACATTTTAACAGTAGAGGACCCCTTCTGAAATTTTCTCGGAGGTCTCTTCTGTTTTTTAATCATTACCAAGCATTGTCACCTCTATGTTCACTACATAAAGATTGTAAGCGAACCACTGGAAAAGTAAAAAGAAAAATTTAAATAACAATCAGAGTAGATTGTGAAACTATCTTTGGAGCCCCTACTGTATTTTTTTAATAATGTGAAACATTCTCGGGGGCTCCTTTTAACGTTTTTTTTTTTAATAAGATGGAACAATAAAAAAGAACTGGACCCCAGAAGGTTTCACTTCTTTTTTAAGACATTAGGGATCCCCGAGAGGGTTTCACATTATTAAAAAAAAAAGAATGAAGGGCTCCCCGAGATTGTTTTACAATAAAAAAAAACAGAGGAGGTTCCCGAGAAAGTTGCACATTCTTCAAAAAAATAAAAAAGGGCCCCTGAGAAGGTTCTAAATTATTATTAAAAACAACCCAGAAGAGACCCCCGAGAAGGTTTCATAGTATTAAAAAAAAAAAGAGAGAGGGCTGCCGAGAAAGTTTGACTTAAAGAAAGATGTGGGGATTCTCGAGAAGGTTTAACATTCTTTAAAAAAAACCTAGGAATCCCTGACAAGGTTTTGCATAATAAAAAAAGACAGAAGAGGCCCCCGAGAAGGTTACACATTATTAAAAATAAAGACAGAAGGGGTCCCCGAGAAAGTTTCAAATTCTTTGACAGTCGGGGTTCCGAAGAAGATTTAACATTCTTTAAAAAAAAAAGAACAGTTGAAATCCCCGAGAAGGTTTCACATTCTGAAAAATAAGCCAGAGGGAGTCCCCGAGGAAGTTTCATTTTCTTTAAAAGGTTTCACTTTGAAAGGAATAGACAAAAGGGGTATCCGAGATTGTTTCACTTTATTTAAAAAAAAGACAGGAAGGGTCCCCGAGAAAATTTCACAATCAAAAAAACTTCAGAAGGATTCCCCAAGATTGTTTCGCAGTATAAAAGAAAGACAGTAGGAGGACCCCTTCTGAAACCTTCACTTTTTTTTAATATGGAACTTTCTGTTTTTGTTTTATGATGTGAGACTTCGGAGACCGTTTCTGGCTTGTTTTTAAAAATTTGAAACCTTCTCGGAGGGTCTTTTTGTCTTTTATTTTAAAGAAAATGAAACCTTCTCAGATATAGACTTGTTTTATAGTAAAGGATGTCGACGTTTTTTAGTGTATTTTATTTAAGAAATTTAAAAAATCTTAGGAACCTTTGGTATGTTATTTTGAAATAATTTAAAAGAACTTGGGAGCCCCTGGTTTTGTGTTTTGGAAAGAAACTCGTACTGTGACATTTAATTGAAAACATTTTTAATGTCCCTTTGTACATTTTTTTGTGAAAATTTAAAAAAATGTTAAGGCTCTTGGTGTTTTCTTTTTCAGAGAGACTGAAAGAACTTTGGATACCCTGGCGTTTCATTTTTAAAAATATTGAAAGAATCTTGGGAAATCCTGATTTTTTCTTTTTTTTTCGAAAAATTGACATTATTTTTTAATATAAAAAAATCGTGAAATCTTTAGTGTCTTTTTACCTCCCGAGGGTAATTTTTATTAGAGAATGTTGACATTCCTGGTGTTTTCTTTCTGCAAGAGAATAAAAGAACCTGGAGAGCCTCTAGTAATTTGTTTTGAAAGAATTTAAAAAAGTTTTAGGAGCTCCTAGGTATGTGTTCTGTTTTAAATTTAAAAAATGTTGGGGTGTATAATATATTGTTTTTGAAGTACTAAAAGAATTTTTGGGAGCGTCCAGAGTTTTTTAGAAAGATATTTAAAAAACCCAGTGGTGTGTGTTATATT